GGGTAAAATGTGCTGCCAGCATCCTCAGTTTCTGAAGAAAAAAAATGAAAAAAGGGGGAAAAGTTCTCAGAAATAAAATGATGGAGGCAACCAGCTGGCACGACAAGGTGTTCCCTGCTGCAAAACCAGCAACAGAGCTCGAAATCTGGGCGCTTGGAGCAGGGCTCAGCTCGCTGCTTGGATCTGCCTCCCGAACACCAGAACCCCAAGGAAATAACGGAGGGACATGGCGGGGAGCAGGCAGTCCCCCGAGCAGATGGCTGGGCACTCATCCGAACGGACCCGCACGCGGGGAAGGAAGCGGCAGGAGGTGGTGGGGTTCTGGACACCATAGCAACTCGGGACGTTGATCACGCCGGTGCAAGGGGCCGGGGCTGACCGCCCGCCTGCTGCCGTTTGGCAAGCCGTGCCGTGCCACGCCGCGCCGCCGGCGTCTGCTGCAAGCGGACAACTGGCTGCCAGCTGACCGGGCAGCAGCTCTTCCCAGGAAAAAAAGCACAGGCTTTTGCAAGAGCAGCAGGGATGGAGCAAGCTGTGTACGTGGTGCAACGCCTGCACTAACAGCCAAGTTCACTATGGATTTTCAAAAATAAAACATTAAGAATAAAAAAAATTAAAAACGCTACCGCGAGGAAAGAAAAACTCAGTGGGCAAACAAACCCTCTCTTTCCCACCTGAATTTATCCTGCGGGTTTTAAGCAGTTTGCAGGCACTCGCGATGCTGCGACAGACCAGGTAAGGAAGCTCGGTATGTATGGAACCATATGGAGTCAAGTCACTTCAAACTAGAGCCAAAAAACTTTTGGGTAAGTTTGATTTTTTTCAGCTGAAAACCTTGAGGGTATGATGGGGGTAGCGTGTCCTTCTGGACACAGCCTCTTCACTGTAACGGGGTGAGAAGCCTCGGCTTCTGCTCTGCCGCCACACAGAAGGGTCACTTGAGATGCAAAGGCTTTTAAGAAAGAAAATCTTGGTTTTACTTTGATATTCCAATTCAAAAGAAAACAAGCGTTGCTATTCAATTTAGATTTTATATAAAGCCTATAAAAAGTCGCTTTTTAATTTGAGCTAAACAAAATAAAATAGTCCCTTTGGTCTTTGGTTACCAGTTGAGGAACTGAGAGGAGCGTGGATTTTGGTGTGTTAAAGCTACTTCCTTTTCCTACGCTGTTATTTTTATAACTTGTATTTTTATTTGGCACACACCGGCATTCACTGCTACAGATTTACCCCAGAGTTGACAATTAAGCCCCAAAACGTCACACGCACCGGAAATAAGACGTCAAGACGAGCAAAGCGTACGAATCCAGCAGTTGATCTTGCCACAAGCGCTCCAGACAACCTGCACGACTGCTTTTGTAAAGGAAGAGCACGGTGACATTTGCATATAAGCAAATGCCCCTTTTCGTAGTTTCCTTTCGAAAGAAGCTTCAGAAAAACAATGAAACCGGAATTTTTCTGAGGCCTTACTTGTAAGAGTACCCAACCCCGCCC